AGCTGAGGGTCCTGCAAATGGGGTGGGGGGCAGAGGGGCTCTCCTGCCTGCAGATGGGGGGATTAGCCACAGGTGAGGGGGAGAAGGCAGGGAGGAGGGGAGCCCAGCCCCACTCCCTGCCTGGGAAATAGAAAGGCCACAGATTTTTGGCAGGGGCGGCTCAGGCATCCCGTTCGAAGGCTGAGGTGATGCTGCTAATTATAAGCCAGGAGAGCAGAGCTGCAAGAGTAAGGGCGAAGGTATGCTGGGCACGACGTAAGAGGTGCCTCTCCTCATGGATGAGTAACAAGAATGAGCTGGAACAGGCTGGAAAGAGCTGAGCTCTTCTCCCGAGGATGACGTAATGTGCGGCATGAGGCCACTCCTTCTGGGAAGGGGAATAAAAGCCGCGGGCGGCAGCACTGGGGCAGATCGCTCCCAGCCCACTGGAGAGGGGACAACCAGAGAGCCAGTGCCAGCAGCAGCAGCAGCAGCAGCAGCACCAGCACCAGCACCAGCACCAGCACCAGCACCAGCAGCGATGCTTTGCCGAATGCACCTCGCACCATTTGCCTCCAGCTCCCTGGCCACCCGGCTGGGCACGGTGAGGACCCTCTGGCCGCACGCAGAGACCATCTTCACTGAGCTGCAGCAGGAGATGGAGAAAGCTCGGGAGTTCATGAGCAGCTTCGAGCAGCTCCTGAGCAGCCAAGGAGTCACCGCCATGGAGCGAGCCCCGAGCACCAGCACAGCCCTGACCCAGGGCTCCGGGGAGGGCTTCTCCATCTGCCAGGACGTCAAGAACTTTGCTCCTGAGCAGCTGTCGGTGAAGATGGTGGGCAGGAAGGTGGTGCTGGTGGGGCAGAAGGAGACACAGAATGTCGATGAGAAGGGCTCCTTCTCCTACAAGTACGAGGTGCTGAAGCGGGAGTGGGACGTGCCCGAGGAGGTGGACGCCGAGGCGCTGACGTGCTCCCTGTCCAAGGAGGGGCAGCTCCGCATCGAGGCCCCCAGGCTGGCCCTGCCGGCCGCCCCGGAGAGGAACATGCCCATCCAGGTCAGCCCTGCAGCACCACAGCCCGGACCAGCCTCTGAGGATGGAGCCACCAACAAAGCCCAGGTGTAATGGGAGGGGAAGCGATGGCCCGCGGCAGGACCAGAGAAGATAGCAGCAAGTCTTGGGTTTTAGCCCAGACAAGCTCCATCACCAATGATGTCATTTTTTTCACTATACTGGAATGTTTTTGTATCCAATAAAAATACTTTTGCATAGAACCTGCTTGTACTCTCATGGTGTTGATTGATGGGAAGGCTTGCGCCCTGGTCTCAGCTCTTGATGCCAGAGGAGCTGGATGCACAGAGAGGGAAGAACCTCTCTTGGTGCCTCAGGGCAGCACAAAATGGGGCCGACAGCAGACCCAGAGGGAGGGAAGGGATCTGCGAGCACGGTGCTGCTCAGAGTGGGGGGAGGCAGGAAGCTCCCAAGTGGAGAGGGGCAGCCCCACTCACCTGTACTGGAGCAGAGGCAGCTGTCCCAGAGCAGGCTGCCTTTAGCCCCTCCTCACGCTGCTGCCGGCATCTGCACCAGCTCCAGAGCCCCTCGCTCCCTGGCCAATGCTACTGAATAGGAAGACAACCGTGCTGGAGGGCCTGGCTGGGTGTTGGGTGCCCCTGTTGTAGCCACATTTTTTCCCCCCAGGCAGCTTGGAAAGGGGCTCCTGGAGCCCCCTCTGGGATCCCAGCAGCAGGGAGGGTGAAGCCCATCTCCAGGCACTGTGTGTAACCACCATAAACACCCATGCTCAGGCCTGGGCAGGCAGCAGGTATGCAGGCAGGCACGCCTGTTTGTGCTAAAGCTGCTCCGAGTTCGGACCACCCTTCCCCGTGGCAGCACGGTGCTGGCAGCAAGGAGGCTCTGCTCTGCAGAGCGCTGCCGCATGATTCTGCATCCAGCAACAGCAGCAGGTCCCCAGCCCCGATACCGAGTCCCTTACAGCTGAACAGCACATGCTCAGGCAGCAGCAAGACACCCCTGAGGGCATTGCAGGCTCCTTCACAGAGATGGAGACCCAGAATCCTGGAAGGAGCCAGAAACGAAGCCCTGTCAACCAGGAACCAAGTACAAGAAGCCAGCAGATGGCAACAGCACCTCGATTTGAGCTCACAAGATCGTTCAGAGTTGGGGTTGGGGAAGCCCTTCTCCAACAGGTCCCTCTCTTGCTGCCTGGGAAATGTGCAGCATCAGTCCAAACCACACTGGAAGCGATGAGACCTCAGACATCCCACAGAGGTCCTGAGCTCCTCTGGCAGATGAGCAGCCAGGCTCCCTTGCAGGGGATGGAAACAAGCAGCACCCACAGCACCAGGCGAGTGAAGCCCATCTGAGGCTGCTGGAGCCCACACAGCACCCGCAGCCTGTGCTCCAGCCAGACGTCAGGAACTCAGTGACTGAGTCACTCCAGACCCTTCCTGTTTCCAGGATTTTAAGGAAATGCAGCATGAGCAAGAGGCACCTTGGATAGAGGATGAAGCCCACATGAGCCAAGGCTGTTCACACAACTTTATTTGCAGGTACCCGGCAGAGCTTTCAGAGCCCCAACAGTGCAAGCCAAGGACAAGCCCAGCCCAGGGATGGTCACACAGTTGACTGTAGCTGTGCCTCTCGCAGAGATTCAGCAGCCACACAGCTGAGGAGAGGCGGCAGGTTCAAGCACCGATCTTCAAGCTCTCCCAAGCATGTATGGTACCGGCCCACCAGCACACACAGTAGCAGTAGAGCTGCAAGGGGATGCTCTGTTTTCCATATTGACTCCAGGTCTCACCCATGGGTGTAAGGATCTCGAGTCCATGCAGCAGTGACAGGAGAGTAGCATCTTTCAAGGCCATCATCCTCCAGGGACAGAGCCATTTTGTTCATTAATCCTTGAGCACAGTATTCCTAAGCCTGTCCAGTTGTCAAGCTGAGCTCTGCATACTGGTCCCCCCACCTCTTCCCAACTGGAGTTGTAGATAGTTCCCCTAGAAGCATTAGGCGACCACTATTTACCTCAAACTTCCTTGCATGCCGCTGCACAGCACACCACAAACTTACTGAAACACCTGCAGCCTCATTGTAAGGAGTTCCTGCCTCTCGAGGGAGCTGGCTGCTGCAGGAGCAGCTGGCACAGCACGCAGGGGTCTGAGGGCAAGCAGCCCACGTTTCTCCCTGCCCAGGGAAGGAAGGCCACACGTCCCTACAGAAGAGCTGGGCATTGTACACACCACAAGCAGCCTAGCACACCTCAGCCTCCAGCACAACTGTTACGTTCTGGTCCACTCCCCTTCTGGTTTGAGCTGATTAAGAAACATGAACATTGTTGATTATGATAGGTTTATAAAAATTTTTTTTTAATCACACAAAACTGAAGTTTGTGATGAAGACTAGGTTGACAGTTCCTCTTAAATACCAGTATGCATAAGACATTGCATTAGGCACTAGGCAGCAGCCACCATCAGTTAGAGTCTGGCAACAGAAGCCATTTTAATACCTCCCTTCATACTTTGTGGAATTACAGGCTTTTGCAATACATATTGTTTCCACTGACAAGTTATCCGAGGTTTCCCCCACCCCACCTCTGTACATCAGTAAACCATGTGTATTCACACTAGAGTAGGGTTAACAACATTAGTGGCATCACAACCATCAAAAAAAGGACAATTTTCTATACAAGATTTTTGCAAAAGTTGCAACAGGATTAGTGCATTACAACAGAACCAGAGATAGAAAAAAAGAGAGTTGGCATGCTAGAGTCCAACACAAATAAAGACAACAGGCAGCTAGTTGTATGTACTATATTGACAAGATACTGATTGGTTACATGAAGAAACATACAATACAAAATACAGAAGAAACCAGTTTTGCTTCCCTCTGCCCCACCCCAGAATACTCATAATTGATTTGGTCAATACATGGCTGAAAAGCCAGAGTTTGTCACTATAATGCTACAGTTTAGTGGTTGTTCTAGGCATATCGTACTGGTATTAGCCTTAGCTTTTACATACGGGTAATTTTAAACAAGGTTGTCTAGTCTCAATATCCCTTTGTTTCCAATAGTGAACTACAGTACTGTGGGACCTGGGTGCTGCTGGCCCTCACCCGTGGGAAGGGATGAGCTGGCTGGGCAGACACCAGGTCATGCATCCACCACCACCAGGAAGAGGGAAGAGTAGAAGTTCATATATTAAAAAAGTGACTTAAGACTTAGAATTGAATTAGTATTTGTACAGAAAGGTGCAGGTGGAAGAACTCCCTCCAGCCTATGATCAGAAAGGGATGGAGAAATCACAGCAGCCACCGGCAGCAGCCGCTCTACGGTAAGTGCGATTGTTAGCATGGATTCCAGTCACGTCATTCAAGGGCTCCATCAGGCGGGAACGGCTGCTCAATTGCTGCAGCACTGGCTCCTGCTAGGCTGACTGCTCTCCTGAAGGTCAACCACCCGATTCCTACCTGGGCCACCAGGAGCGTTCTGCGGTTCATTTTTTGGCAGTTTCTTGGCTAGAAAGAAACAAGACATTAGTAGGCTCCTCTACAGAGGCCAACCTCCTCCCCACTGCAGACCACAGGCTGGGCTCAGCCCTGCTCTGGCCCAAGCCCTCACCTCTTAAGGAGTTTGGGATTGGACACTGCTAGCAGCACAAGTACAGCAAACAAACTCACTTCTAGTTCTGGCTGTCAGTCATGCTCCTTCCTTACTCACCACCCCAGATAAAGGGAGAGAGGGAACAGGCTTTGCAAGGCAAAGGCTCCAAACACTCGGGGAGTGACTGTTCACAAAAGTATAGCAAACTGGCCATCTGCTCCAGTAAGAGCCTCCAGACCCTGGCTGACAGAGGAGCTCCCGTGGTTTCCAGTGGGCTGCACTGCTGGTGCTCAGAGCTACTCCAGCCATCCTTCTGCACACAAGCTGTTACCTATTGCCATGAAGATTTCATTCACATTCATCGCTGTCTTTGCCGATGTCTCCATGAACAGCAAGCTGTTGTCATCTGCATATGTTTGTGCATCCTACAAACAATCACATTAGAGCAGTAACGGCATCCTGCCAAGAGGAGGCCCAAGCAGACTTAACACGCTTCACTTGCTGGCAAACTAGACACCGAAGAAACCCTGTCCCACCCCAGGCAAGACATTCCACCCCAGTCCCCTGACCCTGCCTGGCCAGGACAGCTGGGAGACATGCACCACTGACCATACTGCATGGCTGGTGTCCCAGCAGCCAAGCTGGGGTACAGCAGCACAGACTGTTGTGAGCCATGTGAGCCAAATGTAGACACAGCATGTCCCGAGCAGCACAACACCTTGTACTTTGGTTAGCTGGGAGAGTAATACACACTGTAAATGCACCACAAGCAATCCTGTGCAGAGGTCTGAGATAAGAGCTTCTCCTTGAAAGTCTGCCTTAGACAAGGTAAGAGCTGTGGAGAGTAGAGAACAAGCTGGGAATGATTCTTCATGTGTCTTGTATCTAAAAGATGCTGTTTCATACACTGCTGAAGACAGCCCCAGATGAGTAAGGCACCAGAAGAGACTGAAGACAGAAGTTTGTGCTCTGTGGGCCTTATTCTCCACATTCATAACAACTGTTACAGACAAGAGCTACAAGTGCTGTGGAAGGAGTGCACAGGAAAGGCAGGCTACAATTCCCTCTGAGTGGCATCCTGGCGTCCTCAGCAGCATAAATCTTGACTTCCACTCTCCCTCAAAGCATGTTGCACACAGCCACCATCTCCCCCACTTAAGCAAAAAGCTGCTTTCCTGACTTGCTCAGGCAACTACTGATCTGGATTCCCACTCACCTGGAAGTCCACAGCTCTCTTGGTAGCAAGGTCTGCCTTGTTTCCTGCTAGTGCAATTACAATATTGGGGCTAGCCTGCCTCTGCAACTCTTTCACCCAGTTCTTGGCTCGTACAAATGTGTCCTGGAAGCAAACAGGAGGCAGCAGTCAGGAAAGGCAGCCTCTTATTAATCCACAGTGAAGATATGATTAGAACAAGTCTTTCCTGTAAGAAGTGTTCTGCCTCTACAGCACTTTGTAGCAGGATCCTTTATCAGCATAGACAGCCTTGGTCAGAACTGAGGAAGAGGCTATTAGCAGTTTTCAAGAAACTCAGTACCTGCAGGCAGGCATCTGCAGGGACTCTGAACCCAGACACTCTCCCAGGGAACTGAGAAGCACGAGCTGCAAGCGCAAACACCTCCTCCCCAGTCAACACTCACAGCCCTACGCAGTACTCACTGTGTTAGTGATGTCGTAGACAACAATGGCTGCCTGGGCACCTCGGTAATACATCGGTGCCAGACTGTGATACCGCTCTTGTCCTGCTGTATCCCATATTTCAAACTTCACCGTTGTGTCATCCAGACAGACTGTCTGTGTTAGGAAGGCAGCTGAAAGAGAAGGTGCATGTTTGCCTTACCTCCAGCTGGAGAGCCCCTGCAGCGAGAGCCAGGAGCTTGGAGCAGTTCTGCTTTTGCATGGGAGTGAGCAGGAGCCCCAGACAGAGGCCAGTGCAGTGCCACTTGTTGTGGAAGCTGCAGCTCTGCTGTATCATCAGGCTCCTCGCACAGAACCACCCAAGAGCCACCATGCAGCTGACAGGAAGGTGGCCCTGAGAGCCCAGGCAGCAGACAGCCACTGAAGCAGCAGCACTGCCAGTCCCCTCCCTAGCCTCCTCTCACAGATCATGCAGTACGGCTGCAGCATCACCAGGATTAGCTTTGGAGAGCACCACAGTGCCAAAGCACTGAAGTCAGCCCAGTCACACTGCACTCCCCAATTTAGTAACTGGTTATTTTCTTGTTCCAGCAAGTATAATACCATGCATTACGACTAGGATAAAGGCAACCAGCCTTGGATACAGATTGAAGCAGAACAGCAGAGTGCCCACACGGCTCTCTGCAGCAGAGCATTAAGCCCTGCTTGCCCATAAGCTATACTTACAGCTATACTTACTCCCTGCATGGGTTACTATAGGGACAAATCAAGCCTTTTCTCAGTACAGACCTTCCAGTATTACTGCCCAGAGACCCAGGTGCCAACCAACCTTTGATTGGTGACACTGTGCTAATGACTTCAAGCTAAAGAACTACTAGATTTGAAAGAGCTGTGGAAGTAGTTAACAGTATCAGGCTAGAAACAACCCCAAGATCCCAGGTCACAGTCTGAAAAGATAATTAAGGGCTATAAATCAAGCTGAAGGCCTCAGTTCTAATTAGAAGCAGGAATTCAAGCACTGGAAGCGAAGACGCCTTAGAGGCAGAGTGCATGGTTGCCATAGCATTATTCTCTGCTGTGCTGATCTTCACACCAACAGACAAGTTGTAAACCAAGAGTTAAAGCATTAGCTGCTTGACTCTATAGCAAAAACCCCAGACCGGACTGAAATAGCCATTAATACTTCTGATACCCCTGGACTGCATTAGTGAGGCCAGCATCTTCTAGCCATAGGTATTTGGAGTTGGCACTCACCTCCAATCGTGCTCTCCTGGTACTCGTGGAACTGCCCCTTCACAAAGCGCAGAACAAGGCTGGACTTCCCCACTGCTGACTCTCCCAAGAGAACAAGTTTAAACTGGCAGATTTTGTTTCCAGCAGCTGGTCCATTCGGTCGAGCAGCTCCACCTCGACCTGCCATTGTGGCCTAAGTGCAGGAGTGCCAAGAGTTAAGGATGCTGCAGGTTCTGCACTAAGATCCACCTGGAGGCAGGTTGCAACTGGAAGAGGAGGTCAGAGTTAGTGACACACTCATGGACTAGCCATACCAGTTCTAGAGGGTGGGTTTGATCTGCAGCCACCATCAGCACAGGCAGGGGGG